TTTAATGAGGCACAGCATGTACATCTTCCTACTGAAAACCTTTCATTGATTCCACAAGGTCTCAACTGTAGTCCAACAAAAGCCCTGATAACTTCTGCATCCTGACTTCCCCTCTCTAAAAATTTGGGCAGTGCTTCACTTATGGTTGTTTACACACTGCTTTCTTTCTTTAGACATCTTTCCTCCATCTTGTTTTTTGAACTTCTACTCAATCCGGAAGACTGGGTTCTGAGAACTTTCTTTGACTTAACTTCTTCAGGATTTCATTTCTTGGTCATTCTCTCCACCAACTACCTATAATAATCAAGAGCTATAGCTTGTGCTAAGTACTTAAGGCAGTCCTTGCTAGGCCCTAACATTAACTGAGTGAGCTGTCATTTTATAAGCAAAAAGCTGAGGATGAAACACTTTAAAGGCTACTTACTAGGATGTAGGATTTGAACCTTTACTCACAAAAAGCAACACTATGGTTTCTAGTAGCATTACTGTAATCATTATATACATTCTCTAGACCATCCTTGTAGGCAGGAACCATGTCACATTCACTTTTGCCTTTGCAGCCAGATCAGGGTCTGGCATAGAGTAAAAGTTGGTTAGTGTTTACAGAATGTCAGGCAGGTATGTTATGGCTAACCTAAATAAATGAGTGATGTCAGCCTGTCCCAGCAAAAGGTTAGGGCAGGTAAGAATCAAAGTGGTAGAAGCCTTTTTTTTTTTTTTGAGACAGATCCTCAATATGTTGTCCTACCTGGCCTCAAATTCTTGGGCTTGAGTCTCCTGTCTCAGCCTCCTGAATGCTGGGATTTCAAGTGTACAATATCACGCCCAGTTGAAACCTAACTTTTTAATTATAATTTACTTATCAGCTACATATTAAGCACATAAAGATTATGTACAATATAAGACAAATTTAAACAGTCCTTACTCTCCAAAACTGTAAGTGTAGTAAACAAAAGTATTATGATCTTAATCATCCATCTGGTATCAGACATTAAGCTTACAGCTCTAGGACATTTTAAAGAAATTAAAAATTTAAAACCCTGAGTGGGTTAAGTGTTTATCTGCAAAGGCTATTAGCATTTTTATACAGCAAATCTCTACTGGCTTACAAACAAAAACAACAGGTGGCAAGGCTGTCCCCTTAGTATTGCTTCTTCCAACTGGTTATGGAAGGGATGTGGGAAGGGATTCTAAGTGAGAGGTCACTAAGAATAGGAACTATTTCATCCTTCAGTGGACCCTAAATAAAGGCCCTAGTACAGGTTATTTTGAAACTTGATGAGTAAATTAAATGTAACAATGAGATAGTTTTAATAAAGATACAGATTGATCATCTGCTCCAATTCCTTAAGGAAGCAGGTTTTCTCTGAGCACTGGGAGAACTGGATCTCTTGAGTTCTTCTGAACTAAACTGTGCAGAGTCCCAGAAGACATCATAGAGATCAGAGGTAGAGGGAAATAGGAGGTGGGGAAGGGTAGGATGAGCTCATCTCTCCCACCTTCAAATGCTGGTTTACATTCTAGGGAGTCTCCTGGGAGCTGTGTGTACACCTGGATTACCAACTGAGTTGTCCAAAAGAGCTCAAAGACAGCTAGCAGAGCTAGTAGGTGAGGACACTCAGGCTTTGTCTAGTCACCTGGTCAGCCCTTGCCATTTGGAGGAGGTTCTGTGTACCAAGTATTGTATAAGTTGCTTCACTTTCTTTTGTTGATGAGACTCAGAGGGGAAGAAAGGGACTCAAGTGTCACAAAGCATGAGGCAGAGCTGGGAGTTCAACTTGTCAGTAAACACCATTCCACTATTCCCCATTGCCTCTCTCCAACTGCTTTTAAGGTCTCTCTGTTTTTTTTTTCTTCTTAAGGTCATTAAAATGTGTACAGGTTAGGCAAATGAGTGAAGGAGCCAATGAGAACTAGAGAGGCCTAAAGAGCTCACAATACCTAAAAAAATGGGACAGGTGTTACTCAGGATTACTAGTTTGTGAAGAAGTGAACCTGGTGTCACCAGATATTTAGACTAAAGAGGCAAAAACCCAGACTTTTGAGAAAACCTTTTTTTTGAGACAGGGTCTTGCTATGCAGCTCAGGATATCCTTGAACTCACTTTGTAGCTCAGGCTGGTCTCAAACTCAGTGATCCTCCTGCCTCAGCCTCCCAAGTGCTGGGATTACAGGTGTGTGCCACCACACCTAGCCTATGAGAAAACTTTGGATTTTTTAAAATACAGGTCACACTAAGATAAAAGAAGAAATAAAACATGTAAATTTATGTAAGTTGGGACCTTAGAACAAGTTTGTGGAATGAATGGAAATTGTCTTTTCTTTTCTGGAGACAGAGTCTTGCTATGTAGTCTAAGTTGGCCTTGAACTCAAAAGCTTCCTGCCTCTGCCTTCTACGTGTCAGGCTTACAGGTGTGCACTGCCACATTCAGCCGAAAGCCTAAACGCAGCAAAGAAGTGCATTTGGATTCTGGCCTACATGTGACAGTGAGTTCCACTTTCCCTACCTACTCTATGCCTGTAAGACAGGGTTGGGCTGGGATAGGAGTAAGGGATCCTCACAAAAGGCAGAGTAATGACTAACCCTACCCTGCCATCAGGTACATTTCACCAGAGCACAAAAGCCTGCTTCTTGAATCCAGACTTCACCCCACACACACCTGAGCAAACAAATGGGGCACAATCAGAATACTTTATCAGTGTATTTCTTCTATGCGGCTGTTAAAATTTCCCCAAAATGCCAGGTGTGGTGGCATATGCTTGTCGCCTCTACACACCTAGGAGGCTGAGGCAGGAGGATCAATGTGAGCGTGGGCTACATATTAAGTTCACCGCCAGCCTGAACTATTTGGTGAGACCCTGTGTATCCCCTTTCATTCCCTGAAATATAAAAGGGGGACTTTTTTTTTTTTTTTGCCTGATACTTAGAGTGGAAATCATTTTCACAAATGTTTAATTTCTATGGGTTTCTGTCTCTCTACCTGAAAAACAATGTAATATTTATATCTTTTAGTTTGCTAACATTATTAATCATCAGGGGTATAATGGTGACTGACATGTTTCTTATACTCTCAGAATCTATATACAAAGGAAAACAAATAATCATTATCAATAGTTAATGTAATATAATTCTGCTAAATGCTGAAAAGAAACTGAAGAGGAGACAGAAGATTAGAAGTGTCTGGCATGACTAAATGTATGAACAAGCAGTAGAATAGATAAGTAGAAAGTGAACCTAGATATCAGAGGAGTTAAAGAAGCTTATAGCTCTTGGGAAAGTTGTATCAATAAAAACAAGTGGTTAAGTCATCATCTAAGCTTTCTGGCATCTCTATGTGACAGGAACTTTGAAGTATTGTATGACCTGAATAGGAAGGAGAGGATGGCAGCTGCCTGGCTTTTTTTCCCCCACCCTCCCAGGTTTACATAATTGCATGGTTAGGGGGCCAGAATAGGTTAGAGGAGTAAGTAGCCTCAGGAATGGAAGCCAGATTCAGCAGGGATGGGGTCCAGCCTGGAGAACTTCTGGACCAGTGCCAACTCTGGGTAGGAGTGGTTGTGAAGATAGGGCTTCTGACAATAAGGATGACATTTTTATTAATTAAAAAACTTTTCATTGTCATCTGAGACACAATGGAAACCAGCATCAAAACTGGGTTACAATAAGCAGATTCTGGGCTGGTTAATTTTCTCTTTCATTCACCTAGTTAGTTATTTCTACCCTGGGTTGGCAAGGTCCTATGCAAGGTTTGGAGGATCAGATAGATGACACAGGCTGGGTCCCTGTGGAGTTCACAGTCCAGTGTGGGGAACAGACACATCAACACAACATTTCATCACAGAACGGGGAGTGCTACCAGAGGGAAGCACAGAGGACTGTGGGCACAGAGGGGGCACCTGACGCAACTGGGGAGGTCAAGGAAGGCTTTCCGGAAATGGTACCCCAAATGGCATCCCCACTCACATGCACAATTCCAGAGATTCTACTAGAAGGCTGTCAAGAGCCATGCCTTCTGGCTGCACCAGCCTCCCAGAGTCCCCTGCTGCCCGATGCAGTGTCTGCAGAGCCAAACGCATCTTCCGCCACGCCTCATCCTCATCCGGCGCTGCATCCGACCCTCCAAGACTCCTGCAGGGGCCTGCCTTCTCTGGCAGGCCCAGCCAAAAGACCAACTCAAAACTCTATTGTCAGAGCAAGCTTAGGGTGAGCCACCCAGCCCCGGGTGCCAGAACCCTCCCAGAACAACTGTGGCCCATGCCACCCCCACTTCTCAGTGAACACTGGCAGGGTACTTCCTAGTATCTCCTTTGCTCAAAATAAGCTTTCGAAAATCCTCCTACTGCTCACTCTCAGCAGGATTCGCCAAACCTGGGATCTGAAGGGGGAATGGGGGAGCCGCCTTGTGGGACAGATGTACAGAGCAGAGCAAAAAAAGGGTTTCCACCTTAGCAGAAACTCCACCAGTCTTCTGGACAGCCTGACTATCTGCTCCAACTGCTCCGTTAGGGAGGGAGAAGGCCCCCGGAGTCAGATCTGGGGGCACAGCTGCTGAGGGGCAAGGGCTGTATAGGAAGAGCAGGGGAAGAAGTGAAGCCGCTCCCAGGGGAGAGGCAAGAGGCTGCAGTCTTGCAGGTTCTAGCGCCTAAGGAAGTGGCTTAGGGAGAGGGACAGTGGGCCCAGAGGGAGGTGAAGGACAGAGAGCTAAGCTGTGGCCACAGGACCACAGCCCAGTCTCAGTGTGGGTATACGGCCAGAACCTTTAGCTTGGGCAAGGTTTGAAGGAGGTGAGGAAAGACGGCAGCTTCAGCATGGTCACAGGTCAGGCCGAGCCTCCGCTTGGGAGAGAGGGGTCCAGCTCCAGGGGGAGAAAGCCTTGGCCCCGACTCGGGAAGAAGGTCCAGCTCCTGCCCCAGCCCAGGTTGGCCATGCCCAACCCCGCCCCAATCCAGCTCAGAGGAGATGAAAGCGCCCGACCAGCAAGTCGCCTCTCTCGCTCCTACCTGAGGGCCAGGCACCAGCTTGGGTTCATCTTCTTCTCTGGGGCCGTCGCGATCGGGCTCCACCGGCGCCTCCTGGGGCCCTGCACCCGCTCCCGCTTCCAAGCTTGGCGGCGGCGGGGGCTCGGGCGCCTGGGGCTTCTGCAGCCCCGCGGCTCGTGCCCGTTCGCGCCGGCCCGCGCCGCCGCTCGGCCTGCTCCGCCTCCGAGTCATGCTGCCACTCGCGCCGCTCCTTTGCTCCACTCGCGCCGCCACCGCCGCCGCTCCCTACACAGGACAACAGCCAATATGGCGGCGCCCGGCTCCCCCTCCGCCCGCTGCCAGCAGGTCAGAGGGCACGCGGAGTCTGCGCCGCCGCACTAGCCGCCGAAGCCGTGTCCGCCATTTTTAATGAGGATATAGCCCTGAGTTCTATGAGAGAAAAGCCGAGCCGGGAGACGCCCTCCTCCAAGCTCTCAAGAGTCTGAGGAGTTGTGACCTAGAGCACAAATACCGTGGTAGTCGCGGTGCGCGCGTCTAGGGTCTGAATAATTGTCTGTAAATGGCCAAATGAATCAATTTGTGCTACGGTACTTTCACACTCCTGGCCTGACTCCTCCCAGCAGCACCTCAAGGCAGGTACGGATCATTTCCATTCTTTAAAAAAAGAAAAAAAAAAAATCACAGCTATTAAAAGCCTATGACCAAGAGATAGTATAGGTCGTCGATGGCGAACATTTTAGAACTTTCAATGATAACAAACTGCCGCTGCAGCACGCGTGCCGTAGGTTCGCCACTGTGGTTCAGATCACCCAGCTCCTTTACCCGGTGCCTGATGAGGAAGGTGGGAGTTTTACACCTTTAGAACTGGTTTGTCAGAGCAAGCTTAGGGCCAATCACACAGCCCCAGGTGCCAGAACCCTCCCAGAGCAACTGTAGGCCATCCCCCCCACCCCCCGTTAAAATACGTAGTTGCAACATGTGAAACAGATGACTGGGGCACATCCTAGGTCAATGTTTCCCAAAAGTAGTATGCTTGGGAGAGGATTCTGAGGGATATTCAAAGGAACATTTACAATTTTTAAACTAACACCCCCCCACGTGCACCCCCAAGTAAAGAGATCAAACTCATGACCTTGAGCTCATCAGGCAGCGCTTTTGCTACTAAGCTGTCTCCCCAGCCTGCTTTTACAATTTTTAGTTTTTAAACATTTAGTTGTTAAAATGGGATTTTCCCCTCCCTTTATTTTGTGACTATATTAACATACATACATGGTATAAAGTTTTTAAAAAGTTTGAGTGCTACATGTCTCATGCCTGAGTTAGTGGTACTATGAAACTTTACAGTGATTATATGTAGAGTTGCTATAGATATCACGGTCAGACATAATCCTGACATTGGCTTCCCAAAGAACTATATGAAATATCTTTGTGCCTTAGTTGCTAGGAATAGAAATCAAGTATAGTATTTCATCTCATCGTAGGGATTAATGCCACTATCAAAGATTTCTTTGATATCACTATTGGCCAAATAGTGATATCAATCTGGCCAAAGTAGAAGACAGATGGTCTTAAAGAATGACAGGTGGGCTGGGGAGATAGCTCAGTAGTTTAAGCACCTTCCTAGCAAGCGCAGGGACCTGGGTTTGATCCCCTGTACTGTATACCATGCTGTCCACCAAAACCAGGTGTGGTGCAATGCCAGGACTGGGGACCCTGAGCTGTGCAGTGAGACCCTGAACCAAATAAATTAAAGATTAAAAATAAAAATAAAAAAGAATGACAGAGCCAGAGTGTCTTAGTTATCTCTTGTGGCTGAGACACAAGACTCTGACCTCCACAAGTTAAAAGAGGAGTGCTTTATTTTGGCTGAGAGTTTGTAGTGGTTTCAATTGATAGTCAAGTGGCTCCAAGGCAGGGCAGCATGACAGAAGGGCAGTGGCAGGGCAGGCAGAAAGCAGCAGCAAGCAAACAACAAGCAGCATGCCTGCCTTTCCTTTTTATCCCATGCAGGCTACAAGGCTTTTAGGTGATACCACCCATATCCAAAGTTTGGCTTGTTTTCAGTATTTTTCTGTACAGTCCCACTTCATCCTCAGAAGATACAATGCAAACCTAAAATGGATGCCTGAAACCACAGATACATGGCTATATATGTATGTGCATATGTATATATTTTCATATATATATATGATAAAGTTTAAATTGTAAGGTACAATAAGAGAACAAAGATAACTGGTAATAGTATGTTTTTCACAATATACACTAATGAAATTGCCAGCATCACTGTTCCTGTGCTTTCGGGCCATTGTTAAGTAAAATAAGTACTTAATACAAGTTCTGTGATGCCGTGACAGTCAATCCGATAACAAGTGCTTGCTTCGGCAGCACATACACTAAAATCTGATAACCAAGACAGGTACTAAGTGACTAATAGGTACTGTATAGACAAAGAGGTGATTCATATCCTGGGCAAAACAAAGAGGGATGATGTGAAATTTCATCATATTCCTGAGCTACTCATAATTTAAAACTTTATTTTTTATTTCTGGATTTTTCCATGTAATATTTCTAGATCACAGTTGATCTCAGGTAACTGAGTTTGTGGGAGGTGAAAATGCCGAAGGGGATCTACTGTTCCAAACATAGACAATAGTTTGTATTCATTTAGCAAGTTAGTAAACCTTTACTAACTTACTTCCGGGCTATATCTTCCCTAGACACACTTGTTTTGTGGGATTTTTGACCAAATCACCATTCCAATGAATATCAGGCTAACCAGTCCTGATGGATTTGAGAGCAGAAAGTAACAGATATTCTGGATGATTTGATAAGGCATGATATGTGTATAAGAGGATGGATAATAACTCCCACAAATATATCGGGGCCTGTCAAGTCAATGTACCACATAGGGCTCTGGGTATATTGGTCTATTTTCTAGTACTATAAAGAAATGCCTGAGGTTGGATAACTTCTAAAGAAAAGAAGTTAATTTATCTCACATTTCTTGAGATTAGAGGGCATAATGCCAGGATTAGTATGGCTTTAGTGATCTCTCCTTTGCAGTGAGCGGTATCAAAGTAGTGAGAGTGCAAGCAAGATGTAAAGATCACATGGTAAGACAGGAAACCAGAGCACTGGGAGAGACCAGTCTTAACCTCCCATCAGGCTCCATCTCGCCAAGGTCCCATTACCTCTTACAGCCATAGTGGGAACCAAGTTTCCAATGCATGAACCTCTGGGGGACAAAGTCAAACCATAGTAGATGTGTTAAGATATTCCATACAAAGTGAAAAACAAGCTGTTGTATTTATCACATACCCGGCCACTAAAAAGAAGTATCATAGTTGGTGTGTGTGCTGGTGTGGTGGAGGCTTTTTCTTTTTCTTTCCTCTCTTTACAATACTAGGAATTGAACACAAAGTCTTAACCTGCATTCCAAGACCTTTAAAGAACTTTATTTTGAGAGAGGGTCTCACTAAATTGTCCGGGTTGGGCTCAAACATTTGCTCCTCCAACCTCAGCCTCCAGAGTGCTGGGATTATAGGTGTACACCACCACACCTGGCTGCTACTAGTAGGCATCTGTAAATTGGACTTTAGCTACACCATTTTGACCAGTAACTGAGTCACTAGAATGTTGCCGAATTAAGTTGAGGGAGCGTTCAAGGAGAGCAAGTTTTCTTATGGGACCCAGTGATAGAGTTAAGTTGTTCTAGCTTTGACCTTTACTCAAGCACTAAACTTCAGAGTTATATAGTACCCTCCTTCAGCAAATAGTTGTTTTCCTTTTGAGAAGTAGTTCCTGGCTTGATACAGGGATTTGGTGAAATTAGATGCCTGACTATAGTATACTGGGTGGCCATGTTAACTAAGCTTAGTTTTATCTTACTTACAGAACCATAACATCATCAAGAAGAAGTAACATACATGGCCCAGACCCAAGACAGTCCTAAAATATAGTACAAGTAGTTTGCCTGAATGAGTTGCTAGCATATCTGTCACTCTTCCCTTAAATCTCTTCCCTTAATCTGCTTCATCACTTGTTGTTTATGATGAGTTGAGTGAAGAATAAAAATGTCTAAAATCCAATTTATGGATATCTCTGTGTGGTATGTTGGTTCTAGCCAGAATTATATTTTTAGGGTGTTCTAGTCTTTTTTTTTTTCTTCATGTTTTTAGGACAGGGTCTACAAGGTCTACAGGGTCTCACTACATAGATCGGATTTGTAGTGATTCACCTGTTTTCAGCCTCCCAAGTACTGGGATTACAGGCATATGCTACCATGCCCGGTCTCAATCGTAGTCTTAGTGGGCCTCAGGGGTGGGCCCAGCACACTGCACACCAGAGATTGAACCCCAGTTACTGAGCTCTGCCTATGCAGGCGCTTTAGTCCGCTGAGCTATCTGGCAGGCCCGTTAGCTTTCCTTTTTTTTTTTTTTTTTGGTGATTGAACTCAGGACCTTGTGCTTGTCAGGCAAGTGCTTATGCTACTGAGCTGTCTCCTCGGCCCTTTCAACCTTGTAAAGAGCTGAAAGAATTTTAAGTAATCTTTTAAAATATTTCCATTCTTATTAATCTTAGGAAATATGACTTTTTAAAAAATTTTTTTAATGTATTTGGTACAGGATCTCACTATACAGCTCGGACTCATAGCGATCCTCCTGTTTTCAGCCTCCCCAGCGCTGGAGTTACAGGCATACGCCACTATGCCCAGACTCGGTCACCAGCTCAGCATACCCAGAGGCAGGGCCAGCAAGGCATTTGGCATTCGGTACTGGGGAATCAAACCCTGGTTCCTGCACTTGCCTAAGAAATTATTATTTTTTTTTTTAAGGCAACCTTTTTATCTTTAGAATGGAAATAGTGTTTTAATTCAATCACCTTAAGGGGAAAATGTAGAAACTTTGTGTGTGTGTGTGTGTGTGTGTGTGTGTGTGTGAGTTGTAATGGAGAGAGATAACCACTCTATTTTTTTCTTTTCTTTTCTGTTAAGCTCTATTTTTGTGGGAATGGCCCTTTGTATCTCTCCAGGTGGGCAACCCAGCATCTTTGTAGTTGTCCTACCTGGAGGCCATCTACACTTGCATTTGAAAAGCCCTTTAAAATGCTTTTCCTTTAATTAATTGATTTTTATTTTTAAACTCAATATAATTTAAACATTTTTCAGAGAAAGAATGACCAATTGAGTAATATAAGAGTTTGGAGTGATTTAAACAGTGTTTTGAATAGAATGAACTATAATTTTGACTTTTCTCTTTATGATCAGCATTGATAATGCCAAGCAAAACCTGAGTCTTCTTTGTATTGA